CTGTACCCCGGGGGCATCGCATTGGGGTGCAGGTCACCTGCCGTATATTTTGTGGCATCACTCAAAGGTTTGGATCACCTGTACTGTATTTCAAGGCAACAAACCATGGGCAGATAACTTGTGGTGGCATCGAACTGTGGTGCAGGTCCTCGGTCATGTGCCCTGTGATATGGCACCATGGTGCAGGTCCTCGGTCATGTGCCCTGTGATTATGTTACCATGGTGCAGGTCCTCGGTCATGTGCCCTGTGATATGGTGGCATGGTGCAGGTCCTCGGTCATGTGCCCTGTGATATGGCGGCATGGTGCAGGTCCTCGGTCATGTGCCCTGTGATATGGTGCAGGTGCCGTTTTTAATTTGCCTGTTATAACACGGCATTGTGCGGAGGAGGGGCAGATTACACTGGGTACAGAGCACATGGCTGGGTGGGGCAGCTGACGGCATTGTCAGACTGGTAATTCTGGATTTAACCCCCGCGGTGAATGAAGAGAAGCCGGCCCGACACTCCCTTTGATTCTGGAAACTGATACCGCTGTGAGGGCCCCTAAAACACCCATACACCCCGCAGCGCTACACCCCGACCCCTCGCTGCCCCGCAGCACTACACCCCGACCCCTCGCTGCCCCGCAGCACTACACCCCGACCCCTCGCTGCCCCGCAGCACTACACCCCGACCCCTCGCTGCCCCGCAGCACTACACCCCGACCCCTCGCTGCCCCGCAGCACTACACCCCGACCCCTCGCTGCCCCGCAGCACTACACCCCGACCCCTCGCTGCCCCGCAGCACTACACCCCGACCCCTCGCTGCCCCGCAGCACTACACCCCGACCCCTCGCTGCCCCGCAGCACTACACCCCGACCCCTCGCTGCCCCGCAGCACTACACCCCGACCCCTCGCTGCCCCGCAGCACTACACCCCGACCCCTCGCTGCCCCGCAGCACTACACCCCGACCCCTCGCTGCCCCGCAGCACTACACCCCGACCCCTCGCTGCCCCGCAGCACTACACCCCGACCCCTCGCTGCCCCGCAGCACTACACCCCGACCCCTCGCTGCCCCGCAGCACTACACCCCGACCCCTCGCTGCCCCGCAGCACTACACCCCGACCCCTCGCTGCCCCGCAGCACTACACCCCGACCCCTCGCTGCCCCGCAGCACTACACCCCGACCCCTCGCTGCCCCGCAGCACTACACCCCGACCCCTCGCTGCCCCGCAGCACTACACCCCGACCCCTCGCTGCCCCGCAGCACTACACCCCGACCCCTCGCTGCCCCGCAGCACTACACCCCGACCCCTCGCTGCCCCGCAGCACTACACCCCGACCCCTCGCTGCCCCGCAGCACTACACCCCGACCCCTCGCTGCCCCGCAGCACTACACCCCGACCCCTCGCTGCCCCGCAGCACTACACCCCGACCCCTCGCTGCCCCGCAGCACTACACCCCGACCCCTCGCTGCCCCGCAGCACTACACCCCGACCCCTCGCTGCCCCGCAGCACTACACCCCGACCCCTCGCTGCCCCGCAGCACTACACCCCGACCCCTCGCTGCCCCGCAGCACTACACCCCGACCCCTCGCTGCCCCGCAGCACTACACCCCGACCCCTCGCTGCCCCGCAGCACTACACCCCGACCCCTCGCTGCCCCGCAGCACTACACCCCGACCCCTCGCTGCCCCGCAGCACTACACCCCGACCCCTCGCTGCCCCGCAGCACTACACCCCGACCCCTCGCTGCCCCGCAGCACTACACCCCGACCCCTCGCTGCCCCGCAGCACTACACCCCGACCCCTCGCTGCCCCGCAGCACTACACCCCGACCCCTCGCTGCCCCGCAGCACTACACCCCGACCCCTCGCTGCCCCGCAGCACTACACCCCGACCCCTCGCTGCCCCGCAGCACTACACCCCGACCCCTCGCTGCCCCGCAGCACTACACCCCGACCCCTCGCTGCCCCGCAGCACTACACCCCGACCCCTCGCTGCCCCGCAGCACTACACCCCGACCCCTCGCTGCCCCGCAGCACTACACCCCGACCCCTCGCTGCCCCGCAGCACTACACCCCGACCCCTCGCTGCCCCGCAGCACTACACCCCGACCCCTCGCTGCCCCGCAGCACTACACCCCGACCCCTCGCTGCCCCGCAGCACTACACCCCGACCCCTCGCTGCCCCGCAGCACTACACCCCGACCCCTCGCTGCCCCGCAGCACTACACCCCGACCCCTCGCTGCCCCGCAGCACTACACCCCGACCCCTCGCTGCCCCGCAGCACTACACCCCGACCCCTCGCTGCCCCGCAGCACTACACCCCGACCCCTCGCTGCCCCGCAGCACTACACCCCGACCCCTCGCTGCCCCGCAGCACTACACCCCGACCCCTCGCTGCCCCGCAGCACTACACCCCGACCCCTCGCTGCCCCGCAGCACTACACCCCGACCCCTCGCTGCCCCGCAGCACTACACCCCGACCCCTCGCTGCCCCGCAGCACTACACCCCGACCCCTCGCTGCCCCGCAGCACTACACCCCGACCCCTCGCTGCCCCGCAGCACTACACCCCGACCCCTCGCTGCCCCGCAGCACTACACCCCGACCCCTCGCTGCCCCGCAGCACTACACCCCGACCCCTCGCTGCCCCGCAGCACTACACCCCGACCCCTCGCTGCCCCGCAGCACTACACCCCGACCCCTCGCTGCCCCGCAGCACTACACCCCGACCCCTCGCTGCCCCGCAGCACTACACCCCGACCCCTCGCTGCCCCGCAGCACTACACCCCGACCCCTCGCTGCCCCGCAGCACTACACCCCGACCCCTCGCTGCCCCGCAGCACTACACCCCGACCCCTCGCTGCCCCGCAGCACTACACCCCGACCCCTCGCTGCCCCGCAGCACTACACCCCGACCCCTCGCTGCCCCGCAGCACTACACCCCGACCCCTCGCTGCCCCGCAGCACTACACCCCGACCCCTCGCTGCCCCGCAGCACTACACCCCGACCCCTCGCTGCCCCGCAGCACTACACCCCGACCCCTCGCTGCCCCGCAGCACTACACCCCGACCCCTCGCTGCCCCGCAGCACTACACCCCGACCCCTCGCTGCCCCGCAGCACTACACCCCGACCCCTCGCTGCCCCGCAGCACTACACCCCGACCCCTCGCTGCCCCGCAGCACTACACCCCGACCCCTCGCTGCCCCGCAGCACTACACCCCGACCCCTCGCTGCCCCGCAGCACTACACCCCGACCCCTCGCTGCCCCGCAGCACTACACCCCGACCCCTCGCTGCCCCGCAGCACTACACCCCGACCCCTCGCTGCCCCGCAGCACTACACCCCGACCCCTCGCTGCCCCGCAGCACTACACCCCGACCCCTCGCTGCCCCGCAGCACTACACCCCGACCCCTCGCTGCCCCGCAGCACTACACCCCGACCCCTCGCTGCCCCGCAGCACTACACCCCGACCCCTCGCTGCCCCGCAGCACTACACCCCGACCCCTCGCTGCCCCGCAGCACTACACCCCGACCCCTCGCTGCCCCGCAGCACTACACCCCGACCCCTCGCTGCCCCGCAGCACTACACCCCGACCCCTCGCTGCCCCGCAGCACTACACCCCGACCCCTCGCTGCCCCGCAGCACTACACCCCGACCCCTCGCTGCCCCGCAGCACTACACCCCGACCCCTCGCTGCCCCGCAGCACTACACCCCGACCCCTCGCTGCCCCGCAGCACTACACCCCGACCCCTCGCTGCCCCGCAGCACTACACCCCGACCCCTCGCTGCCCCGCAGCACTACACCCCGACCCCTCGCTGCCCCGCAGCACTACACCCCGACCCCTCGCTGCCCCGCAGCACTACACCCCGACCCCTCGCTGCCCCGCAGCACTACACCCCGACCCCTCGCTGCCCCGCAGCACTACACCCCGACCCCTCGCTGCCCCGCAGCACTACACCCCGACCCCTCGCTGCCCCGCAGCACTACACCCCGACCCCTCGCTGCCCCGCAGCACTACACCCCGACCCCTCGCTGCCCCGCAGCACTACACCCCGACCCCTCGCTGCCCCGCAGCACTACACCCCGACCCCTCGCTGCCCCGCAGCACTACACCCCGACCCCTCGCTGCCCCGCAGCACTACACCCCGACCCCTCGCTGCCCCGCAGCACTACACCCCGACCCCTCGCTGCCCCGCAGCACTACACCCCGACCCCTCGCTGCCCCGCAGCACTACACCCCGACCCCTCGCTGCCCCGCAGCACTACACCCCGACCCCTCGCTGCCCCGCAGCACTACACCCCGACCCCTCGCTGCCCCGCAGCACTACACCCCGACCCCTCGCTGCCCCGCAGCACTACACCCCGACCCCTCGCTGCCCCGCAGCACTACACCCCGACCCCTCGCTGCCCCGCAGCACTACACCCCGACCCCTCGCTGCCCCGCAGCACTACACCCCGACCCCTCGCTGCCCCGCAGCACTACACCCCGACCCCTCGCTGCCCCGCAGCACTACACCCCGACCCCTCGCTGCCCCGCAGCACTACACCCCGACCCCTCGCTGCCCCGCAGCACTACACCCCGACCCCTCGCTGCCCCGCAGCACTACACCCCGACCCCTCGCTGCCCCGCAGCACTACACCCCGACCCCTCGCTGCCCCGCAGCACTACACCCCGACCCCTCGCTGCCCCGCAGCACTACACCCCGTTCTGAGGTTGAGGTCTCCGTAGAGGGGGGATGGGATGATGGGTCTGTTGGGTTAGTCTGAGGTTGAGGTCTCCGTAGAGGGGGGATGGGATGATGGGTCTGTTGGGTTAGTCTGAGGTTGAGGTCTCCGTAGAGGGGGGATGGGATGATGGGTCTGTTGGGTTAGTCTGAGGTTGAGGTCTCCGTAGAGGGGGGATGGGATGATAGGTCTGTTGGGTTAGTCTGAGGTTGAGTCTCCGTAGAGGGGGGATGGGATGATGGATCAGTTGGGTGTTTGATGTAAAGTGACCTTTTTCCCACTTTTGTTGTTGCAGAGACGGGTTTTGCTGTGACCGCCATCTCCCGAACGCCCGGCGTCACCTACTACGACTCGTTTGACCTCCAGTGTATCCTGAAGCCGCATTACCCACCCTGGGTGGGCATCTCGGTGACCTGGCGATTCCAGCCCGTGGGAGGCGGGGAGACCCATGACCTGGTGACCTTCAGCCACTCTGGGGGAGTCCAGTGGGGGGATAAAGCTGGGAATTTTCGAGGCCGCAGCATCGTGGAGAAGACGGATTCCAGTCACAATGTGCGTCTGAGCATCAGCCGGGCGAGTGAGTCCGAGGCCGGCAAGTACCAGTGTGTGGCCGAGCTGTGGAGGAGAGAGTACAACGCTAGCTGGACCCGCTTGGCTGAAAGAGCGTCCAACCTGCTGGAAATTAGAGTCCAGCGACCAGGTGAGCCGACTGAGCGTAACTATCTTCACTGTACCCCGGGGGCATCGCATTGGGGTGCAGGTCACCTGCCGTATATTTTGTGGCATCACTCAAAGGTTTGGATCACCTGTACTGTATTTCAAGGCAACAAACCATGGGCAGATAACTTGTGGTGGCATCGAACTGTGGTGCAGGTCCTCGGTCATGTGCCCTGTGATATGGCACCATGGTGCAGGTCCTCGGTCATGTGCCCTGTGATTATGTTACCATGGTGCAGGTCCTCGGTCATGTGCCCTGTGATATGGTGGCATGGTGCAGGTCCTCGGTCATGTGCCCTGTGATATGGCGGCATGGTGCAGGTCCTCGGTCATGTGCCCTGTGATATGGTGCAGGTGCCGTTTTTAATTTGCCTGTTATAACACGGCATTGTGCGGAGGAGGGGCAGATTACACTGGGTACAGAGCACATGGCTGGGTGGGGCAGCTGACGGCATTGTCAGACTGGTAATTCTGGATTTAACCCCCGCGGTGAATGAAGAGAAGCCGGCCCGACACTCCCTTTGATTCTGGAAACTGATACCGCTGTGAGGGCCCCTAAAACACCCATACACCCCGCAGCGCTACACCCCGACCCCTCGCTGCCCCGCAGCACTACACCCCGACCCCTCGCTGCCCCGCAGCACTACACCCCGACCCCCCCCCCCACAAAATATTCTCCTCTGTTTTCTGTTTTTACAACTTTGTCTTTTTCTTCTCCTGTCCTCCCCGGGCCGGCCATGTCTTCTCTCCTGACCAGTCTTCACCCCTCCTTTCCTGTCTTGGCCATGTCTTCTCCCTGCTGGCCCTCCTCTCCTTTGTGGGCGCCCCCTCTTCTCCTCTCCTTTGTGGGCGCCCCCTCTTCTCCTCTCCTTTGTGGGTTCCCCCTCCTCTCCTTTGTGGGTTCCCCCTCCTCTCCTTTGTGGGCGCCCCCTCTTCTCCTCTCCTTTGTGGGCGCCCCCTCTTCTCCTCTCCTTTGTGGGTTCCCCCTCCTCTCCTTTGTGGGTGCCCCCTCCTCTCCTTTTGTGGGCGCCCGCTCCTGGCCGGCTCTTTCCCTAATTTATTTTCCTCCCTTCTCATTCATTCTTTTCTTTTTTCTGCCTTCACTTCTTCTGTTATGTTTTGTGTTTTATTTCTCACTCCCCCTTCCTCCCCCCATTTATGTCCCCTAATTTAGTCCCCTTCCCCC